GGACCAAGCTGCCGGACACAGAAGACAAGCTGCAAACGGGACGACTTGCTGACGGACACGATAAAACTTGAGTGACACCCGCAGAGTTTGATCTACAAGCAGAACCTGTTACAGTAAACCGTTCTCTGTTATCTTGTCTGTCTTCTTTTCCTGTCATACAACTGGGAGATATAACAATTTCCAAAGGTATTACCTTGATTATCTTCTTGAGTTCATATACCAGAAGTCACATGCAGAAGGCTGGGGGACCTAGTGAGGAGTTAAACCCCTTACAGCTGCTTCGTGTAGCAGTAGAAAAATCAACGAACGCGTATCCGGGCATTTAACTAGTATCTATATCGAGAGCACGGGTAACACCCGGATCATAAATATACGAGCGCGCGCTCGGAATACTGATATTTACAGACTCGGGTTTTTTAATTGCTCTCTAGATTTTTTAAAAAAGCAAAGTCCAAATAAGTATTAAACACTGAAGCTGCTGTTTTAAAATACAAACCCCCGGTTGCGCCTGCCAAGCCCAAGTCAAGGAGTGTCCTTCGAAAAGCGTATGGTAGGTTTCATCAAGCTATATGGATTGTGGTCGGGAAAATTCAGTCATATAGATATCACAGAAAATGGGGGGAGGCTGAGATACTTATTTCTGGATTATTTTTCATCATCGGGCAGCCAGCCAGGTTTGATCCCCAGGTCGAAATGATCTGAGATTCGAAGGCGGACCAGCTAGCTATTGGGTATGCTCAGTCGGGCAATGTTTCAGTTGAATGAAATTACGGATTTTTATAGAAGCCGTACTGTGTGCGTTAAAGCGCATGAAGGATTCGGTAAATGTGTAAAATCTTCAGAAGAACAGAATAGACTAGGTAATTAAGACGGCAATTCCAGTAATTATGGTCGTAATTGCAGGGCACTGCAGAACTACTTGGCAGACCATAATGTGTGATGGATGTACCCCTGAAGTGTTGACTTGGTTCCGAATAAGATGACGCTCTGACTACTACCACTATTAATAATAACATTGTTACTACTTCTACTACTACCAATTACAGCACAACTCGAAAGAGAGCCAACAGCTCACCGTACAAGAAGCAGCTTTAGGTTGTGTTCAACATTTCTGCTGACTGGAATCCCATCAAGGTCCACATGACTATGTGGTTTTATATGCAAAAATTAATCCGTATTTCATGGGCTTCAGTGCGCAATTCAGGATGCGTTTCCACTAGCTACGTGTTATTAGACTTTTGCTCATTATTCATACATAATGGGAGGGAAAAAGATAGTAATGCTGATCGATCATTTTCTTCTTTGCCAATGTAACGGTAGGTATGGGTGATGAACGAACCCAGATATTGAGGCATGTTTCATGTTGGCTACGAGAGCAGGATGTTTGTGGCAAGTTCAGACGGGGACTTTATATCAGGCTAATTATTGCACCCACGCCAGCCTGCGGTTGCCTTGATCTTGTACTTCAGGTTGAATAAAGTGGATTTTCGAGGAAAGAACGAGGTAGGTTACAAGAAAGCCGCCCATACTCATCAACCGCTTCTATGTAATACGGTTGCATTTCCCCTCGCTTGCAATAGACGGATTACCTAAGCATTGTGTTCATACGTCACGTTTTTCATAGTTTCGGTGTGTTCCCATTTGGCATTAAGGGAAAAGAATACGATTAACCTTGATTGAATATGATTTTCATAGGTTCTATATCGATTTGGGCTAATTTACTGGGGTTTTTGGACGTAGATGGGTTGTCAAGGACCCTTTAATTGAACAAACGAGCATCTGAGGATTAATTCTCAGCAATTTTAAGCAAGATCTCGTCAGCTTTTCGTCTGCGTAACCGCTTCGCCCTCAACGAGTCTACCTGCGGATGTAGTCATGAATGTAAGGCAATCACTTAAAATGAAATACGCACAAAAATTACTACTTCCGTATTTCAGTAAGACTTTTGTTTTGATATTAATGTCTCAGTTGAAGAGTTCCTACCTTGCGTTTCGGTGTCGCCTTTGCTTTGCTGGAGGCGGTTGATGCAGATGCGGTCTTCTTCAGGGTTGCCTCGGTCACAATTACGGCTCTGGCAGAGTCTACCACCGAGTCACCGTTGGCGCTCCTGGCGGCGTTCTCCTCAGCCGAGTGTCTCGGCACCGGGGGCAGAATAGGCCCTCCTGAGAAGGCCTTGCTAAAACGAAGCTGATTGGCCGTCATGAGGTCGGCTAGACTCTTCTGCTCCTTGGCAGACTTCTGCTTTTCATTCATCCATCGTGGCGGCCCAAATAGGCTGTCTGCACTGGTTACACTCGCCTGCATACCCAGGCCAATACCCTAAGAGAGGGGAGGAATAGGGATATAAGGAAGCGACACGGGCTAAGCGAAAGAAGAGTCAAAGGTTGTGAAAGCGTT